GTCCCACCCAACCCCAACCCCATCCCCGCCCGTCCCACCCCCATGCACGGGGACCAAGAGGCACCAGGCTGCTCAGGGCACCCGCCAGGTGCCACCTCTCATCCCCAGGGGCCACCAACCAGATGGCTCTGGAGGGGACGCTCCAGTCTTTCCACAAGGGGCAGGGCCAGGGGGAGCAACTGCCCCTGCCCCTCTGACTTGGGGATGGGTCTGGGGGCAAAGGGAGGGTTCAGGGCACGGCAGAGCCAGGAGAGCAGGGACAAGGGGACACACCCACGTTTCCTCAGCCCTGGTGTGTTCACAGCAACCACGCTGGACAGGAGCTGAAGCCCTTTGGGGCTCCCCATCCCACTGGGGACACCAGGAGCCCAGCCCTGTCCCCTCCACCTCCTGCCTTTGCAGAGCTCAGGAGGCCATTCCAGAGCCAAGCCCACCTGGGAGCCACCCAGTGCACCAGAGCGGGATCAGGGCCGTGCCACGGACACCAAGTGGGACACACCAGCTCTGCACCACATCACTCCTACCATCCAACTTTACCAACTCCTGGATTTCCCCTGCCAGCACATGGACAACAGCACCAACATTCCTCCCTCCCAACAAACCAGCAGCAGTTTTCCTCACCCTGGCTGCACCCACAACAAGAGCTAAGCTTGGACCTGCCAGCCACAGCACCAAAACCACCCCTGGATCTCCTCTGATTTCCTCTGCTATCTTCAGGGATCAACCTCCAAGAGCATGAACCCAGCACCCCAACAAGCCACCCCCGGCAGAGACACGGCGACCCTGGTGGACAAATCCAGCTGCTTTTTATCTCGTAGGAGATGGCCAAAAACCATGGGGCAGCAGCCCAGCAGGAGCAGGTTTATATTTAGATTTTTAATGTGGTGTCTCACTGGAAGGGGAAAAAAAAACAACAACGCTCAAAATGGACCCCAGTTGTCCCCAGGACCAGTAGAGATGGGATGGAGCTGGGATGGAGATGAGCTACAGAAGATGGAGACTGAGAAGCACCCACATCACTGCAGGGTCAAGCTCCTGCCTGAGGATCCTCCCAGCCCTTTCCCAAGGAGCTTGATCTCCTGCCTCTCAACCCAAAGCAGAGCTCAGCTTCTTGATTTTTTATATATTTTTAAATTTTTATTATTTTTAGGGTGTGTTGTTGTTTGTTTTTTTTTAATCCTTGGGAAGTTGGGCGAAAAATAGAAAAGGAACTTCAACATCATGATGTTCCAAAAATGTAACGGCTTGACTCATAAGATCTCCAAAGCAGCTCATCTCCATAGTGTTTTATTGGCCTCCTGGAAGAGGAGCACCATTTCAGTGTCTGGGTGCTGGAGGTGGAGGTGGATCAGCACAGCAGCTCGATGGATGCAGGACTAAAAACAGCTCCCAGCATCCCTGCAAGAAGGATTCTGTCTACACTTGAATTTACAATCATGCTCCTCTTAATTAACCGGTGTTGAAATGTAATTATGCACGTTGGCAGAGTTGGGGTTGGAGGAGAAACAAAAAAAAAAGGTGGGATGGGAGAGAGGAGGTGAAGGACTGATGGATGCTTGAGAGAGCTGCCCAAGTTGAGGGATCTTTGCTGTTACTCTTGGCTAAACCTCTTGGGCTTTCCCCTGGAACCTGCCTCCCTGTCCCCTGCTAAGTCCCCAGCTAGTGGGGCAGGGACTGGTGGAAGGGGGCAAATTCCCACCCACTCAAACACCCCCAAAGGCCTCCTCCATGGTGCAGGGTCATTGGCCTTCCCTTGCCCCAGGACTGAGCACAGGGGGGGAGAGAGCTGGTGGGTGCTGGCTGCCCTGGACCCCCCACCTACAAAGGTCCCTCTGCTCTCCCTCCCCATATTGCAAGACCCCTCCCTGGGGGGGCTCGGAGGGGGCAGC